CTCTCTCTCTCTCTCTCTCTCTCTCTCTCTCTCTCTCTCTCTCTCTCTCTCTCTCTCTCTCTCTCTCTCTCTCTGGGAGCCCTCGCAAAGTTTGCTAGGCTGTCCGACGGTCTGTGGGGACTTTACCTCTCCACCGAATACCCCGGACTCAGTAACATCATGAACCGGGTGTAGGAAACGGGATAAATTGATGTTTTTTGGACAATCACCAGCCGTTTTGTATTTTGCTGTATTTTTTTACCTCTTTTTACTTTTTTTGGTTGCAGGGGTAAGGGAGGACGTCGTTTTTTAGATCCACTCAGAGCCAGATCACAGGAAAAACACAGCGGCAAGATCTAGCTGACCGAATCTTTGTCTGAAGAGGCGGGTGACTGTCGGATGTTTCGTGTTTTCGTTTTTTGTCTTTTTACGGGTTCAACCTTTCTATTTTTTGGATTTTTCTGGTTTCTTTGCTATCTGGGTTACATTAAGTGATTTGCGTTGGCTATCATGGGCTATCTTAAGTAGGACGTAAAGGGAATGCGAATACTTGCGTGAGTTGCAGAGACGAGGAGTTCTGAGACCCGGAAGAAGGCGATGGTAGGAGGAGGTGGAGAAGCGACGAAGTATGCTAATAGGGCGAAGGAAGGAGAAGGGACGAAGACTCGGGAAGAGGGAGGACGAAGCATGGGAGAGATTGAATGAGGTACCGGAATAAGGCCGGATGCATGTAACATAGTTAGTCAGGAACTACTTAGGTAGGACGAGAGAGAAACACCTTGGTTTAGGATGAGTAGGAGATAGAATCTGAGGATGAATGGAGCACGCGACTGAGTATAAAAAGAAGGAGAGTATTGAGTTGGACATCTCGACCTCAGGCCCCCTGATGAGTCTGCTGCTTGTGCGCCAGCAGCGAAACACGTAGGGGCAGACGCATACAGATTTTTAACGAATTTTTAATGGAGTTTTTCAAGGTCGAATCGTAGTGTCTTCAAGTGGTTTCTCTCGTGTGCCTGCTCTCTTGTCTTTCTTCATCTCGAGCAGCGTGGTAACCGTTTGCGTTTGCACTGGGCGGTGGCTACGAGTTGTGCGTGCGTGAGGTACTCTGTGTGGTACTGCGCGAGGTAGGGCGCGATATTGTACGGGGTGATGAGCGCTATACGCTGTATGAGGCGTCGATGAGCGCTGTACTGGCACCCTGTGTACTGCGCTTCACAGCACGAAGAGGCGGCGACATGGTTTGAGGCTTGTTCCGAGTCCTGGAGTGAGCGTCCTTGGGTGGAGCTCGTCATCCAGTGCACCGACTCTGCACCCGCAGGTACGCAGCACTGAGAGCGACACGTCGATAAACTAGGAGATAGTGGGGGCGGGAACGAAGGGAAGTGTGATCATCTTCTAAAAATCGAAGACTGGCCGAGGAACACTGCGAGCGATCGACGAGGAGAAGATTATGAGAGGTTGTGACGGGATTTCATAACGGAGTAGTTGCGTGCTTTGGTGACTCAGATGATCGAGTAAACGAGAGATGACCGTGACGGATCGGAATTTTAGGATCGAAGAAATACATCGGTTGTGGGTAGATTTAGAAAAACTAGTACTAGATAACGTGGTCCCTAGCCTATTTATCGCCTTGCAGTTTAACGATAGTGATTCTAGAGGTGAGTTGTTTGAGTATTTAGAAAGATTTCTTGGGAGACTATACAGCGTAGGGTGTGTGGTGAGGGATCAGAGGAGGAGGAGTAGGAGGAGATTGACAAGGAGAAGATAGCATTGCGAACTTCCAGAACCAGGGTGCGCCGCAAATCCTTGGGTATGGGAATGGTCCGCAAAATGGTAACCTGCAAGCGGGAATCTCGTGCTATATTTGCGGAAAAACGGGGCACTACGCCCGCAATTGTTGGGCTGGAGGGAACGCGAGACCGCCTATTCAAGCAAACGGGACCTTAGATGAGGAGGCGAAGGAAATGAGAGAATACTTCAGGGAAAAGATTTGGAAGCAGAAGTTAGAGGAGGGTGAAGGAAGAAGAGGAGAGGAAGAGGAGGGATGAAGAGAATAGGAGAGAGGTGGAGAGAATGAGGGAAGCAGAGGCGAGGGAAGCGAGGCTGGAGCCACGGATGGTCCGTCTACTTAGGCAGCATACCCGGCCGAGCTGTAAGACCGATGATGCGATCGGGAAGAAGAAATCACCAAAAACAAAAGCAAGGATGTTGCGGGAGATACGGAGCTACCTTGTCGAGTCAAACGATGACAGTGAGGAAGTAAAGGAGGAGGCGGGGAAACTTATCGAGGCCATCAAAAAGAGAAAGGGAAAGAAACGGGGAGACGAAGAGGGAGTGATCTCGAAGAACGTGAAGAAGGGTTACTATAGAAATCCAGTGAAGATTGAAGAAGACGAAGAGGAGGAAGTCAAGACACCACCTCCCGTGAGAAAGGGAGCGGAAGGAGGAAATGGGGGGACGGAAATGCTAGACCTGGCGATTGAACTACATCGTAGACTATCAGAGAAGAAGGTCCCAAAACTAAGGAAGTTATGTAGCCAGGAGGGAATCGAGTGGTCGAAGAAAGATAGTGCCATTGGTGAGTTGGTAAGGTGTAAGGCAAGGCTGGCGTACTAGGAATTCGTTTAAAGCGGGAAAATTTCTCCAATCTTCGAGAAATGGAATCCCTGAAGATAGTAAAGGGTGGGCATCATGGACATCCTCGTTGAGTTGAAGGAAACTATGTTAGAAAGGGGAGAGAGGATAGATATGGGAGGAGCAAATCCGGAGGTGATAGTTGAAGATCGGATTTTTAGGATGTTTTTGCTGTATGTGTTATGCGGAGGCTGCCCGTGGGCTAGAAAGTGGATGACGTTTGCCGGGTCCGTAGAATGTGACTTGTCCACGGATGATCCAGGTGTGTATGTGTTGGTCAGTCCCTGGTGTCGTCACTTTTATGTTGGGTGCACCTCTCGAAAAATTATCGTATGGTGGACCGATCACGTGAAGAAGACGAAGAGTGGAGCTTGGGGGAACGCGCCCAAGCTGCACGCATGGTTGAAGGTGTTCGGCTGGCAGAACTACTTAGTCCTGCCACTACTAAACAGAACGAATGATGCTCTAGCCGTAGAGAAGGCGCTCATTTGCAGGTTTTCGCCAGCATTGAACATGCAAGGCACAAGGAAAGAGGGCCGGAAGAGGAGAAGGAGGAGAGGAAAAAGAGAGAGGGGGAGGAGAGGGTATGGGAGAAGTGCTGAATCAATGATGCGCTTCAACGGACGAGAATCGATCATTGAGGTAGTGAAGGAGATGAGGGGGAGCATCGGGGAACATCGCATCATCACGGAGGGGGGAAATGTGTGGATGGATAGATGGAGTGTTGTAAGAAGCAAGATCGGCCTGAGTATGATAAGGGTCGGAGAAAGGGTGATGCCAATTAGGAAGTGTAAGGAAATTTTCGAAGGAGGAAGGACGCTTGAGATGGTGGCGATCCGAGTGACGCCGTGTGGGGTGGAGCACTAGCGGAATATACTGAGGGAATTACGAAGGAACCTAGGGAAAATTCGAGGATTGTAAACTGAGGGAATTACGAAGGAACCCAGGGAAAATCCGAGGACTGTACCGCAAGCACTCGCGTGAACTGGTCGCCCTATACCGAACATGTGCACTGTTTGGGGACAAGAAAGTGCGGAACCAATTGAAGACTTCAATCACCAAGGTGGTAAGAGTGATGTACAGTGTTGAGATCAGAAGGAAACCATGTGTCAAAGTGCCATTTTCACCGTCTATCAGGTTGGGCGAAGTACAGAGGGTAGTCGCCAGAGTGGTGGAGAGAGTGATAGATGATCCGTATCTTAGACAGTTTGTAGCAGCAAAGGTGAGGACCGTGACAAAAAAGAGAAGGACGGTAGGCGGTGTCATCCATAACCAGTGGACCTTTGCGAAGATGGAATAGGCGCGATGCAGGTGCAATGGACTAGGTCTACCTAGGGTAGGCGGGCATATCAAGGTCCCGATCGACGACGTACCGGGGATGCCGAATTTCGTTATGAACTCTAAAAACGTGACGACTGGCTATGCAGTGCCCGGGAGAATGCTGGAGAGATGCATTAAGGAAGGAGTGGGGGCATGGTTTAAGGGAAGGCAAGTGAGAATAGAAATGCGCGAGCTGCAGGACTGCTATCAAGTAGGACGGTGCGACCATTCCAAGGCAATGACCGTGGAAGAGGTGGAAGACGTGATGAAACCGTTTAAGCAGTTGGTCGCAGTACCCATCGATCGCAACCCAGGCTCAACGCTCCTTCTGTGTCCACAGTTGTATGTCGAAGCATGTAGAGCTACGTTCAATCGGAACCCAAGCTTCACTCTGGTCCAAAGAGGGGAGGAGCAGTTACTAAGAGGAATGAGGGGAGAATTTGACCGGAGGGGGTTGGGGAGAATAGCAAGATGGCAGACCGGTGGAAAATTTGGTCAGGCATATGGTCTCCCAAAGGACAAGGATCTGGATCGTTGGAGGCCGATTTCACCAGCTACAGACGATCCAGCGAGGTTGGCAGGAGCAAGAGAAGGGAGAGCCATTAGATACATGTTGTTTGGACTGGATCGGAGACTGCACTTCGATCTAAAGGCAACGGATGAGCTGAAGGAACGGATGGAGAAGATTGAGAGGGAATTGGGGAGTGTGGCAGAAGGCGCGCTGGCAGCTAGCTACGATATTAAGGATATGTTTGCGAGACTGACACACGACAGCGTAATGGAGGCAGTTGAATGGATCACTCATTTGTGTGCAGCAAAGGGGTTCAAGGGGGTAAGCATTTGTCTCAGGGGTAAGATATGTACCATGATGAGACTGAATCGAAAAAGGGAAGGGTGTGTCAGCCTCTCTTTCGCTGAGATCAAGTCAATCATCCAGTTCGAATTGTTGAACACATACGTGAAGTGCGCAGGGAGCTTACTGAAGCAGGAATTCGGTATACCCATAGGGAGAAACTCAAGCCCGACGCTGGCATGTTTGGTGTGTGCGAAGGCAGAAGCAGGTTTCATGAACTCGCTGGGTGCAAATCGTGCACTGCTGAGGGGGGTGCGGATGATTGATGATGTGGCAATTGTGGTGGCGTATCGTGTGGGAGATGTAGAATCGAATCAAGAAGCACGGAGGATTAGAGAAGCATTCGACAAGTGCTACGACCAGAATCTGAAACTGGTACGGAAGGACGAAGGGAGCAACATTTTTGACTTCGTTGGCACCAGAATATTTGTGCAGGTTGATCCGATCCGGGTTCTGATTCACCCAGTGACAAGGAATCAGACCTTCCTGAGGCAAGATAGGGGTTTGAAGGTACAGTCCATGCAGGACTATGCCTCTTTTTTGAAGAAGTCGACCAAGAAAGCAGCAGTCTTCGCAGCACTGATTAGCGAATGTCGAACTCGGATGAGGCTTTAAAAGCTGCCATAGCAGCCCTGGTGATGGAGACGCGCCTCCACCGAATACCCCGGACTCTCTGGGAGCCCTCGCAAAGTTTGCTAGGCTGTCCGACGGTCTGTGGGGAGTTTACCTCTCCACCGAATACCCCGGACTCAGTAAGATCATGAACCGGGTGTAGGAAACGGGATAAATTGATGTTTTTTGGACAATCACCGGCCGTTTTGTATTTTGCTGTATTTTTGTAGTATTTTTTTACCTTTTTTTACTTTTTTTGGTTGCAGGGGTAAGGGAGGACGTCGTTTTTTAGATCCACTCAGAGCCAGATCACAGGAAAAACACAGCGACAAGATCTAGCTGACCGAATCTTTGTCTGAAGAGGCGGGTGACTGTCGGATGTTTCGCGTTTCCGTTTTTTGTCTTTTTACGGGTTCAACCTTTCTATTTTTCGGATTTTTCTGCTTTCTTTGCTATCTGGGTTACATTGAGTGATCCGCGTCCGCTATCATGGGCTATCTTAAGTAGGATGTTAAGGGAATGCGAATACTTGCGTAAGTTGCAGAAACGAGGACTTATGAGACCCGGAAGAAGGCGATGGTAGGAGGAGGTGGAGAAGCGACAAAGTATGCTAATAGGGCAGAGGAAGGAGAAGGGACGAAGACTCGGGACGAGGGAGGACGAAGCATGGGAGAGATTGAATGAGGTACTGGAAAATGGCCGGATGCGTGTAATATAGTTAGTCATGACAACTTAGGTAGGACGAGAGGGAAACACCTTGGTTTAGGAGGAGTAGAAGATAGAATCTGAGGATGAACGGAGCACGCGACTGAGTATAAAAAAAAGGAGAGTATTGAGTTGGACATCTCGACCTCAGGCCCCCTGATGAGTCTGCTGCTTGTGCGCCAGCAGCGAAACGCGTAGGGGCAGACGCATACAAAGGTTTAACGAAATTTTTATGGAGTTTTTCAAGGTCGAATCGTAGTGTCTTCAAGTGGTTTCTCTCGTGTGCCTGCTCTCTTGTCTTTCTTCATCTTTCTTCATCTCTCTCTTTCTCTCTCTCTCTCTCACACACACATACACACACACACACACACACACACACACACAAACACACACACACACACACACACACACACACACACACACACACACACACACACACACACACACTCACACACACAGGGTCGTGTGCGACGTGTAGTAGTGTATAATCCGATTTTCTAGTGGAACACTCATTCGATTTTGCTCATCCTATCGATGGAAGTAGAGTGTGGCGAGGCGTGGGGCTGAAGACTTACCTGTTGGCC